ATTAACCGAAAAGGTGCTTTGAATCGATAACAACGGTCCAAAAAGTTTTTGACTGCCCCGGGTTGTTTTGAAAATAATAGCGCCCCGCTCGCCTCCTGCAAATTTGTTTATAAACAAAATACCGGCTGGTCAACGCCCAGGCAAAACGTATCGTGCGAAACACCTTTATTTCATCGAATCCTGCCCCAAACGCGATTTCCAACGATTTCTGATACCTCCGTAATTACGTACTTACGTATTTGAGTTTTTGGCGCGTAGTCATTCCCTTGCGCCGCTTGAACTCGTCGATTTTTTTAGTAAAAAAATAAAATTATCCTCCAGTCTCGAATCTACGTCCGAAACTTTCCTTTTAAATGATTCCTTTCCTTTCCTGTTGTGTTCCTTGAATAAATTCCTCTTTTCAGGACCACGATGAAGCATATCAACGTCGACGGCATTGATGCGCTGAACAAGGCGGTGGAAGAAAATCCAGGCAAGGTAAATTTTGTCAGTGATTGTTGTGATGTTCATATTAGCCTTGATTTTTCTATTTTGAATATTATTTTTTACAGATTTTCGTCCTTTACACGGGCAGCAAAGTGAATGGGGTCTCGTGGTGCCCGGATTGTGTACACGCTGAGCCAGTCATTGAAAAGGTAACTTTCCCGAGATTGTATTCATATTCTTTTTAGGTGCTTGCCGGGTCAGACGTCTCCTCAAGCGACATTACCTTCATCACATGTCTCGTCGGCCAGCGCGACTATTGGAAAGACCAAAAGTGCCCATTCAGGTCGGTTCTATAGGTTTTCGCTCTTTGAAAAAGCTATTTTTTGGAATTACCGGGCAGGGAGCTTAATTTTTGCATTACATAGGGAAATAGCTATTAAGTAAAGTAAGTCTGTTTTTTTAGTAAAGTTAGTTATATTGAAGTGGAAAAACAATTGAAAGGTTTGATATTTTGATAGAAATTCGAACTTTTTTTACGAGAAATTGATAATTTTGTGTGAAGATTTTGTGCACAATAAAACAGCTGAAACATTCCCTCTATTTAAACAGCAAAATTGGATTCTAAGGAAAAAATTCCTACCCGGTCGCCCAGAAATAATAAAGAGCCTAAAATACTATTTTGTTAGTGTAATAATGCAAAGAATTATTGATTTTCATTTAGGAGGGACGCGCGGATCAAGATCAATTCTATCCCGACGCTAGCGCAATGGGGCAGCAAGGTCCACCGTCTCTCTGAAGCCCAGCTCACCAACGCCGCGCTCATCAAGGACCTGTTGCTCGAGGACAACTAAACGACGTGTATTTTGCTCAAACTCTGCCTCTTTCACTGTGATCTATGTGACCGGTACGACATTTTTTGTGATACCCGGTAAATTTATTCGACTCCCACAATTTTGCCTACAATTAATGAGAAATGGTGACGGTCGGCTCAAAGTTTTCGTGCACAAAATCGGGCCACAATTTTTCGCGGATCCTCTCGATGAACGATTTGGTGTGTGGGAACTCTTCCTGAAATTAGGAGCTCTCTTAGCAGACGTCGGACTGACCTGCAACAGCTTTTTTGGTAGAATATCGTAGGGAAGGTAGAGTAAAATCGCCAAATGGCTCCAGACTGTCAGATCGGCCTGGAGAGCGCGATTTCGGTTGAAAACCCCCAATTACCTCGGTGATTTTGTCCCCGAAAAAGTTATGGCCTGCAAAATTCTTCAGAAGACTTTCATACATTCGCAAATCTTCGCGCAGCTGAAATTGGGATAGCTTTACCGAGTTTCTTTAGCATTATCGGGGGGAGGCATAATTTTTCCTTATGAGTCCAGATAACGGAAAGTGTGTTAATAATGTTTTTAGTAAATTTAACTATTTTTCAAGTGGAAAAACTATCCAAAAACTTAGAAGATCGACTTTTTGGGAAAACCTATTTTACCTGTTTTTTATGTTTGTGAAGTTTTGCGTTTAGTATTATTTAGTAAAAATAGTTTAGAAACACTGCCTCTATTTATATTAGAAAAATTGGATACTAGCAAAATGACTACTCCCGCCGATCAGGCACCATTTCCGTTGAAGAATGATTTCTCTTCGTTTTTGGCGACCGCCTTACCATTTCTTCGTGGGTCCCGTCTGGCCAAATTCCAATGGAGCTTCCGATGCGATTCTTTGCCTAAAAATTGCGTTTTATAATCATTTTTCATTCCTACCTTTCCCGACAAGTTTTTCGTCAAAAATACACTGGCAATGGATTTGACAAAGCCGGATCCCTTGACGGCCGCCAAGATGACGGCCACCATCTTCTTTGGGTTGTCGAGCAGCTTGTACTTGTAGGTGACGCTGAAAATACGGTTTTTTGTTACGGGAAATAGAAACCCACTTGAACGTATAATAGTCGCATGCTTTGGCGATAGCTCGTCCTTGAGCTGCCTCCTTTTCGTCGGAATAATCCTAGAAAACAATGATGTTTTCTTGGTCTTTACAAGTACCTGAATGTTGAAATGCTTGCGCAGATGGCTGATGATGGCGCCGGAGTCTTCGATTTGACGCCCATTCAGCTCGATCATCGGCAGAAGCCCTTGTCTGGTGCGCACCTTGTTCGTCTCTTTGACCTGGCAGAAACTTTATTTCTATTTTTATGGCTTAACTACCTCGTGCTTAATCCCATGTAAACGCAGGAAGCTCTCAACCTAAAAAATCTTACAACTAAATAATTTGAAGCCCGCGGACCTTGAGGCAGAACGGCGAGATGTTGGGCAGTTCCTTGATTCTCGGGAATTGGAAGAGGTAAACAACATCCTCCTTCCATTCTTTGACGTGTAGGGTGCCTAAAATGGGATAATCGTCAGTACTTCGAAAATCGGGGTTTTCGCATTAGAGGGGGTTCTCCTGCGGGAAAGCTAAGCCAAAACTTTAAAAATTCCATCAAAAAAAATGCAAAAATATAGATTTTTCGACGTAAAATGGTCGATTTTCGACAGCTTTTCAACAAAAATCTCGAATTTGCAAAGTTTTAAAATTTTTCTCGAGTTTTGTCACTTAAAATATAGCGAAATTTTGCTAAAAGCTCTCTTAAAACAATTACTATTTGTTGCTAGGCATTGCTGGACTTATACAAAAAACGGTTATGGTTTTTCTGGGAAAATACCCTCCCCCGTTAATGCAAAAGCACCGAAAATGCCATTACTTTGAAAAGTCAGTACTTCGAAACGTGTTGAACGACTAGCGATAAAATTCCAATTTTTTAGAATAATAATATTTTGATTTTTCGAAGCTTTAAAATCTATAGAAGCTTGTAATCAGACGTTTAAGGCATTAAGACTAATATCTGCCGCGTGTACCCACCTCCAGATTTGCCCATCGTTGTCGTGAAGGTATCGTCACGTTACGAGTAGCAAAATGACCTCCTCGTCCTGCCGGGTGCCTAGCAGATCAAGGGGTGTGGCTGATAACGCGGGAATGTCAAGATCGGATGTGCTCGTGCGAACATCCCCGTACCCCAAGGTTATCCCCCGATCGCAGGTGGATAGTGTGGTTTATAGCAAGGGTTCGTAGACGGTTTATATATGCGCGGACGCCAAAAGCATTTCCGATTACGGTTTTTTCGAAAAATCGAGGTGACAATCTTTTTAATTCGGGCCATTTTCCGAAAAACCTTACATATTTTAAATTATATTAATTACATATTATTTTTATTTAAAACATTTAAAAATTGAATTTTTTCGCCGTAAAATGTAAATTTTCTACATTTTCCTAGCTCTTCTAAATAATTCTACCAATTGAAATGTAGCTACATTTTACTAAAAACGCTATGAAAATATTTGCTGTTACATTACCGGCCAAATCCAGATTTACTAGGCAGGTCTTTCAACTCGGCATCGGACCTGATAACATTTGTTGCGCCATTCGACACCTCATGACGAGCTGATTCCGACTCTTTGCAAAAAAATAAACGGAAGCACCAATGGGGGAATGGGATGAGCTACGAACCATACGTTTTACGAGAATTTCGTGGAAGTTACTCCGGCGATGAGAAAGGTACCGTTTCTGAAGATTTTGCAGACTTCAAAGCGTCATAACTTCTTCCCCCACGGTACATGCGTTTATTTTTTTTTTGCAGATTCGGAATCATCTGCGGCGCGTCGAATAACATGGCCAATGTTTTCTAGTTCAATTGCGAATACATTCCGGATTGCTACCGGAAAATTAGCTTACGAAACACCTTTAAAAATAGGCTAAAATGCTGAAAAACGATCCGAATCCAGCAACGGTGCACATTTTAGACTGGATCGCGAGCAAACTTCGGCTCGGCCCGCCCGCTTCCACTCCAATTATCGACCTGACTGACCTCGAAATAGTGTCCACCGCATCGGCACACCGCCAAAAAGCGAGCAGAGCAAACAAGAAAAAAACCATGAGTACTGAAAAAGCAAAAAACACTGAAAACGAAAACTGAAATATTAAAAAAACTTCAAAACTATTAAATTCTACTCTTGAAGCTTATCATCGACGTGAAAGCAACCTGCAACAAATTTTTTGATTAAAGCGCACCTGCAATTTGGTTAAAAATAAATAGTAAAAATATAGATTTTCGATCTAAAATCATCGAATTTCGATAAATGTAAAATTTCTAGATATTTTATGATGTTTTTAGATAGTTGTACTACTTTAAATCTGACTAATTATATCAAAAACGCTATTAAAACACTTGAAATTTCTTTACTAGGCATTTCTGGATTGTCGAAAAAATAGGTTCTCCTCCCCGATAATGCAAAAGATCCATTTTCAGCAACATCACCTTTTGTTGATGCAACTCCAATTCGGATCCTCGACTTCATCACGAAACCAATGACGAAATACGCCTTGCGAAACGAGGACAGTCATAGCTGATCAGAAAACTTTGCTCTACCCGAAAATCCCTCCCTTATCGCGTGAACTATAAGAAGCGGGGCCAGCGATCGAATTCAGACAAAGCAGCACGCACCGACTCATTGATAAATCTTGATTCACTGCCCAATTTCCGCTCAGCCATGCAGTTGCTGCTCAGGGTAGCCGCCCTCCTTGCTGTCGTCGAGTCGGCCAAGGTCGCCGTCTTCATCCTAGAATTGTCGAACAGCCAGGTGAGCTCAAATTCACAGGCTTCGAGCCATTCCAGATCCTCTTCAATAAACGGGTAGCACAAACACTGGCCGAGGGTGGTCATGATGTGACGCTGATCAACATCAAGCCCTACAAGGGATTGAAAAGCAACGTGGAAAAGGATGGAAAATTGAAGGGTTCGTTGCCCAACAACTTCAACAAGTAATGATTTTTCAAATTTCCAGAATTTATCGTCGATGCCGCCGGTAATTTGACGCTTCGCGAGATGGAAGAAGCGCAAGGCGGCATGATATTCAGCGTAAGGCTTTGATTCATCTACCAAGCAACGGCTAAACAGTAGATACCCCAGTCGACCCTTACCTATTGTATCTCGGCTATCCGTTGTGCTACATGGCTGTAAAGTACACCAAAATACTCGCCAGAACAAGACGAACATTTTGGTGTACTTTACACACATGTAGATGAACAGGCAGCCGACTTACAACATTTTTCGGGTCGGCTGGGAGTGGAGAGCTGCCTTCTTACACCAAAATGCTTTAGGAATTCTCGTGGTTTGACAAGAAAAGCTTCGCCATCATGTCCGTGATGAGCCAAATGATGGCCGAGGCCTGTGAAAGTGGGCATTTCCTTCAAACAAAATAGAAAAATATTGTTAGAAACCATCCTCAGCCAAGAGCTGTTCGATTTCCTGGCCAAGGAAAAGTTTGACGTCGTCTACTCTCATATGTACGATTATTGTGCTATTGGGGTGATACATAAAGCAAACGTGAGCTTTTTGCTAGCGTTTTTCTATCTTATAAATTTCGTATATTATTCTTATGATTTTTTTTGATCTGAAATATTCAGATCAAATCGTGGATCTGGCTAAACTCGGGCGGTCTGATGGAATATGTCGGAATGTCCGTCGGAGTTCCGTATTTCTCCAGCTTCATGCCACGTAAGTCTTCTCAAAATTGTTATGTTATCTACTAAGCTAAAGTTATTCTGAGAATTATATATTACTATCCGGAAGCCTTTAGCTCGCGGAATGGACGCCGGCGCCAAGATGACCTTCCTCGAGCGCACGAAAAGCCTCATCGGGCACAACTTGTTCAAAATTTTCTACAATAGGTGGGAAAATTCCGTTCCTTGGGAAAACTGTTTTTAAGGTTCCTAAACTTAAAAAAAAACGCTCGCAGTATTAAATTAAAATTCAAAAAGTAACGATTTTCGGCCAAATATGCCAGTTTTAGGAACAAATTTCAAATTTTCAACGCTTTTCTAAGCTATTTTAAATCAGATTAATCTTTATAAACAAAATGTATATGAATGAATTGATAAAAATATAGTTAAAGCCTATTTTTTCCTTATTAGGGCAATCCCCGCCAAGCAGACAGCCCTCTTCCGGAAGCATTTTGGCGAAGATTTTCCCGATCTCTACCACGACCTCGGGCCAAAGGTAAAAAAAAATGTAAAATATGGTTATTGTAAATTATTCTAAATGCTACGAAAATTGTGCCTTGAAAATGGTATATTTAGTGCCCGCTGGTGATGGTGAACAGCAATGAACTCTACGAGCAAGCAACACCCACGCTGCATAAAGTCATCAACATTGGCGGGCTGGGGATGCAGTTCAAGGATGCGAAGCCGCTGCCGCAGGTAAACTCGAAACTGAGCTTTAAAACCAAGCCGATAAGTTCCGCCTTATGAAGGCTTCTTAACACTGATAAATGCGAGGGTTTAGGAATACGACGAGCTGCTCTCAACCACGAAAGGCATCTTCATCATGTCGTTCGGCTCGGTGGCCAACGCGACGATGATGCCGCAATCGTGGAAGGTGAGATTCTATCAGGAATTTTACCTCAGAAAATTCCCCAGGAATCCCTGATGGCCGCCTTCGCCGAATTCCCCGAATACCATTTCGTAATGAGGTATGCCGCGGACGACATTGAATCCATACGCCCGAAGAATGTGAAGCTGACAAAGTGGATCCCGCAGGCGGATCTGCTGAGTGAGTAGACTACTCAACCATGAAGCCTGTCTAGAAAGATATAATTCATCTTTTAAGAACACCCGAAAACGATCGGCTTCATCACACACGGCGGCTATAACAGCTACCAGGAGACGATCTTGGCCGGCAAGCCGATGATCGCCATCGCCCTCTTCGGCGACCAGTACAGAAATGGCCGAATGGCCGAACAGCTCGGCTTCGGGCTGATGTGCGATAAAAACAGTCTCGCAAAAGGTCCAGAAAAGCTGACAGAGGCTATCAGGCAATTGATTAGTGACAAGAGGTAAGCGGGTTTATCAAAAGTGCAAAAAATGTCCGAAATCCGTGCTGAAAATCAAGGTAACCCGTTTAGCTATGAACAAGCCGCGCAGCAACTCTCAAAAATGGCCGCCAAAAAGCCGATCAAACAGGAAGAACTCCTCAACAAGTGGACAGAATTTCTGGCTGAATTTAAGGCAAGTCTCCACAAGTTTTTTTTAACCTGAATTCCATTAGACAATCGACGTCTTGGTACCGGAAAGCCAAAACCTCAATTTCGTCCAATACAACCAGATAGACGTCTTGGCCCTCCTCGCGCTAATCGTAAGCTAAACAGCGACAACCTGAAATTCGATTCTACAGGTTTTCACAGTCCTTTTCCTGCTCTATCGCCTTGTCCGATGCATTGTCTGCTGTATTTGCTGCCGAAGAAACCGTCCCGAAAAGCCCAAATCCGAATAGTTTATCGTGCAACAATTCTAGGTACAAAGTGAAACTGCGGATAAATATACGTATTTTTTTAATCTCTAAACATCGGCGCATCGGTGTTTTTATTTTTTATACAGCCGTGGGCCGAAGATCTTGCTACCGACGCGCACACTCGTGCTCCCTTGTTGAATCGCCGTCTCGAAGTCGTCCGACATGCCTGAAAAGGTTTTAGAAAGAGGATGTAGGGAGAACTTACCCATTGAAAGTTCATACTGATCCTCCGGATCTTCGAATACTCGAGCGAACTCCTTCCGCACCGCGACCAATTTGTCAAAGTCCGGATTCGGCGTCTGAAGAAACTAGGTTCTTTTGTCGGATGGAGGGACCCCGACTTTTTCTGAGATATTTTATATTTATTGCCAATTCCAGATACGTACAGTAATGGCATAAAAATTGTTTTATAATATTTCTAACAAAATTTGGTTATATTCGAAGCGGAAAACCCCATTGAAAAGTTTAAATCTGCCTAAAAATGTGAAATTTCGTCGAGAAATATGTATTTCTGCCCGTAAATCGATATTTTTGTAGCATTCAACATTTTAGAAAAATCTCTACGTTTATTAGTAAAAATACGACTGAACCTTTGAACTTCCTGCAATTGAGCCAATGGTCATGAAGCCAGCAATCTCCAGATGTGTGCAATTCTCGCGAATAAACCTCCCTAGTCCCACGACGCCCTCCGGCTCGACGCCACCCTTTTGATCCTCGCCGGAAGTGTTCACCTAAAAATCAATTATCAAACTACCAGAACCCCTAACCTGGATCAAAATGTTCAGCTTCCGCTCGCGCTTCCCCATCTCTTTCTCAAACAGTTGCGCGTGTTTCTCGTTGTCCACTGTCTCGACGCAGTAAAGGTTCGGAACTGCACATATTTTTGGGATCTGAAACCATGTCCGATCCAAATTTCTCTGGTACCTTGTTTGATTGAACTTGGCCGATGTAGTGCCATCGGATATCCGGCAAATCTTTGAAAACGCTGCCCTTCTCCTCGAGCTCTTGCACATAGTTCTCGCCAAAGTGCCTGAAAAAATCAAGTTCTCCGCAAAATTTGAAAAACACACCGCTGTCCCACGTCGTAACATTCTTTGATCAAATCTGCGGGTTTTGTCTTCGAAACGGCGACCAGCCTGGTAAAAAAGTTTTTGTTTCTATTGTAATTTATACCTTGGAGTTTTTGCTGTGTCCGTCGCTGCGCCTTGCACTCTTTCCAGGATGTGTAGAATATTCTCCTGAACCACGGTCCGTTCTGTCGTCATCGTAAAGCTCCGAAGGGCCCTGATGAGCATAAATTCTTTTGTAAAAGAAGAGAAAACTTATGATTAAAAATTAATTTCAATGCGAACTATTTAGGTGTAGTAATCGGTTATAAGGACGCGCCAGGCCTATGCACGCGGGAAATCTCCCATCCGCGCCTCCCTCTCTTTTCCGCTGAAACGGGCATGCGCAAATAAACCTGCCAAACTTTGTCAAAATTGATAGTTTTCCGGATTGTAAAATTCAAACCACCATATCGCGCACTAAGGATAGCAAAGCCCGCGTTTCATGGATATCTATTAAAAAGTAAAGCCTTTTATCTGTCGTTTTTTAGCTATCCGGAATTCAAAACATGTTCGGTAAAACAAAGCGGCCGCCAGCATTTGATAATTTGCTAAATTTGGGAACAGACCGTTGATTCAGCTATTTCTTTCGCGTTCAGGTCAAACCATAATGTCGACATTTCGGAAGACATTTATTGTAGCCAGCCGGCGCCTTCTCATAACCCGTCTTATTTTGCTTTCAGGTGATGGATCCATTCAGCTTTGTATTGGCGGCACCCACAAATAAACGATTTGTTAAGAAGCGACGTGTTGAGCCCGAACCTGTATCAGGTAAAGCAACTATCAGTCTCGGATTGATCGTTTTTGGTTTTCTTTCTTGAATTATATGGGTCACGCTCGTGTTAAGGTTACGAAAAGTACGATGTTATCACAAAATTGCCGTATATTAATAAGACTTTGCTATATCTCGATCGATGTGAATAGTTTTACCTTTCTCCATTTCCTAGTTTCGCTCTGTTCCGTTCGCCCTACACAGTTCCTTAGCTCGCCGTCTACACCACCGTCAACTGAAATATGAAATAACAAAAAGGAGCAGAGCAGATATCTTGGTCATAATTTGATGTTAACATCGCGGAAAACGTTATATTACTGGGAGCACGAATTCCAACAGACAGACACGTATGGATTTTTTTTTAAGAAGGAGGCTTTCAATTAATTTATTACACCGCAAAGAACTAAACTATTTCATACTTCTCACATTCATTCTCCGATCCTGAGCACGGCCTATTATATTAAACCACTCCTCAGGGCAAAATCCCTTAAATTACGAAGTTTAAGCACCTCTAAAAGCCGTGTAAAATTTGGGTAGAAGTTTCTTCATAGATGATGTCGAGCCGGAGTCCTCCTATCACTATGAGCAACTGCAGCAGGGCAGTGCCGAGCTAAAGGAGCTCGAGCATATGCTCCACAGCCATTTATCCGACAAGTCCCTCAAGCTGACCGTCCATAAGGCCGACAAAATCCACAACCCCTGGCTATCGCATCGGGTATACCATCATACATTGTCTCTCTAACACCAGTTCCAGTTTTCAAAGTATTGTAAATGGCTGAAGGGAAAGGGCTTTCCAAATACGGAGTCCTGGGGCTTCCAACAAACCCACTACACGAAAGATGAGGTTTGCTTGCACTTTTACAACGGATTTTCCTTGTTTAGCGCGCTTATATTGCCACCGAGGGTCTGGCCGTCGACAATTCGATCAATGACGATTTGGGAGATCCTAAAAATGGCGTCTACCTCTCGAAGCACGTCGATATGGTCTCACAGCAATGCTTCGCCTTCACGACTCAAGGCCAACCGCTAGCAGTTGACATCCTGGTTTGCAAGATGGCCCTCGGCAAGACGATGATGGTGAGCAGGTCTCCGAATATGCTATTCTGTTTTTTAGGTGGGCATGGGATCAAAGGATCTGGACCCGAGCCCGAGCTACACTTCGAATGCCGTCAACCAAGCGCAACAGGATCGGAATTCTCGCACGGTCGATCGCATCGATAGCTGTCGGAGAGACATGGTAAATAATTGCAATCGGGTATTTGGGTCAGAAACAACTTTAAAAGTCTTCTTTCTGGGTCGTTATCGGGGTAAAAAAGATGTTGTTTTGTTCTAAAGAGCCACCACAGCCCAATAATCAAATCAACGCCATTAATATAGCCTTACTAAACATTTGTAACTATCAAAACATCGTGAAAAATCTTAAAATTTTTGAAATGTTGACTTTTTAGATAAAATTATAGAAGAACATTGACAATCATCATACATTTCAGTTTTGTTAAATTTTTGACAATTTGGTCATTGTTTATCCATAGGGAAAATACGAAAAACATGGTAAAATACGCTGGTTTTTTGTACTGGGCAGATATCGCTATATCAAAATCTCTGGTTTCCACGGCTCAATAAAATTTTTGGCATCGAAACCCGCAACTTATTTGCTTTAGGTATTTCTGTATGAGCTCGACTCGAGCCTGGAGCCGCTTATTGTCCCCTCTGGCGTCTTGCCATACGCCTACGTCACTGTCAGTCTCGACAAAAATTTTGCAAGCGCGCCGATGATGAAAAGGCGAGTGGCGATTCATGTTTTACCAGCTTTACAGATAAATTGTGACATTTCTAACGTTATTTACTTTTAGCAAATTGACCCGCTACGACCTGCAGCCATCTGTGTATGAAGGACCGCTCCAGCTACTCGGCTTGATGCTGCCGATTTCACTTACCTCACCTGTTGACGCGCTCTGGAAACCAGAAATTTTGTCAGTTTTTTATGCGTTTTTTGCGATGCCAGATGAGTAAAAATTTTAGTAAACGTTTTGAGCCCTTGATTAACTTTTTTCTTTGATTGAGGGCTAGAAATTATGAACTATAGATTTAGTATAATTGATGTATTTTGAAAATTCCGCTCTCAGACCTTATGTATTCTTTCCCTTTCAGGTCCCCAGACCTAGACTTCTCGACGCTAGCCACCTGGAAAGCAGCCCTTGATGACCCAATTCTCGGCGTAGGTTTTCGTGGCGCTTGCGTAGCACACTTTTTCCAGGAATTCATGGAAAAGGACAATCGTGGTCTTCTCCTGCGCAAGCCCTACATATCGGTATTCAACGGATTGATTTCTAAAAACGTTTCCAATTACCAGTTGAAAAGCGGATGGATGGCCACCTACTTTCTCGTGAGACCAGAAGCGGATGGGGAGCGCTTTAGAAGCCTTGTCAGTGCGCTCACCAACACGAGGACGGTGGGTGTGGATACGCTTTTTCGTGGCCGCACTTGTGAATAGGTGCCTGACGTAGCGGTTTTAAGGGCGCATTTTTAATTTTTTTTTGATTTTTTGACATCTAGTTCGCTCCAGCGTTCGGAAATGCAAGGTTGAAGCGTTGGATTAACTATAAAAGCTTTAGAAAAACTATGCCGGTTGCCATTTTTTATTGAATATTTCCATTTTTTATTTAGAATTGAATTTTTATTTTATTAATTTAGCTGCTGCTCGTGGTCGAAGGCGATTTCCAAGTGTCCCTCATACCGCCTGGTGAGATCAGCGACCACCTTGGATTTCCTGCATTGACCGCCGGACCTCATCTCCATTTGATCCTCACCAAAAATCGCCATCTTTATTCCGGCAGCCGTCTGGATAGCAATGTCGAAATGTATGTTTTTTTGGCGTCATCCAAATCTCCACTAATTTATGGTATTTTTTTCGTTCTAGGAAGGGCACAACGCGCTATCCAAGCGTTATCGACGAGGTTGACCCATCTCAACCGCTACTTGCCGACATGATCCTCGAAGACCATGCCAATCTTATCGACGGCGACTCCGGCATCAACGCATATGTTAGGAATGGAAGAAGTAGGTTTTTTCTAGGCGTTGTATAACACTCCCGGTCGAACCTACAAATTCATTTGTTTTAGAAGCCGAGAAGGACGGAAAAGCCGCGTCGCGGGAAAAGCCGTTGTTGCCTCCTTTCGGCTCCGAGATGCTGAAAAGCACACAATTGTCTATGCGGCCGCCAAAAAGTGATGCCAAAGGTCAGCGATTTTTGCTAGTCATCTGGTCGAAAAATACTTGTGTGAAAAGTCGACCGTGCGAAAATGGTAATGTTCTGCTGAACGATGATGCTTCTGCTTATTTCTCACGCCTTTTGCGAAAGCCCAAATGACATTTTTTGGAAAGCCATTTGAGAAAACACAGCTGAGACGGCGCTTACGCCTTTTCACAGAGTTTTCGAAAAAAAAACATGTAACTTGGGCAAGGAAAAATGCCGAAGTTTGAACAGATCGCTTTTTCGAGCAAAGGATTTTCGAACACAGTAATCCTAATGTTGTTTAGCGATCAACGAAGGAAAAGCGTCTGACGTCCGCCCGGTCAAGTCTTCATCAAATGATGATGCTAAAAATTCAAAGGAAGATCCGCGGTCCAAGCGTCCGAACCCGGAAGTCGAATATGAACCGAAATCGCCTACCTATGGCGAAATTGATGACATGGCACCGGTCGGGGATCCTCGAAAGGTTCCCGCGAAGCCCGTAGAGGAAGTGTACGAACCGAAATCCCCGACTTACGGCGATATTGACGATCTGGAGCCCGTCTCGGCAATGTTGGACCCGCGGAAGCAGCCGCCGGCAGCCACGTCGGTGCCTATCGTCGACTTCCGGAGTATCTTATCTTCCGGTGGGCTATTTGTTGAGAACGTTAAAAACTCCTACGAAACTCCTACCGCTTCAGGGGGTGTTTTTCTGGGGAATCTTTCAAAGAAAAATGCTCAATACAAATATCCTCCTTTTAGGCGGCAGAGCTGCGACGAAAGAAGAACGCCCAGCCAGTGAAGCACAGGCTGAGGACGAGTCTCCCAAGCATCCCCCCAAGAAGTCCCATGCTCAAGAGCCGCGGAAGCGGTTATCTGAACTCCCGATGCCACCAAAGGCCATGAATAAGGTAGCGTGCCTTTTGAGCATTTTTCTACCTTTACCGTTTGTAGGAAGAGTACGACCCGGAAACGATGGAATTTTCCACCGACCTCCACGGCTTTGATGCAGTAAACAATTTTTTGCTTGATATTTTATTTTTCTTAGGACGCAAGCCCTGCCCCGTCGCCGCGAAATGACGATCTGGACTCATTAGTGCGTGTTTCTACGTCATTTAACGATTTTTTTGCAGAATGGAGCTTCATCGCCTAGCCATGCCGACGAAGAAGACCTGAGACCCGTCAATCAATTTGTAAATTTTAATTCCGTGCTCATGATGATTTTTCAGGAGCCCCTTGTTCAACCGCAAGAACCGCGCCCCGCTATTACCATGGTACGCTATTAATTCAGCCTTTTTCCTGACTATAACAATTGATGTAAAAAATTCTAAACTTTACGATCTATTTCTAGCATGACGACGAGCCATCAAACCACGCCAACCATTTTGCCCTCGCCAACATTTTCGGAATGGCCTCCCGGCCGCAGGTAAGGGCCATTTGCGCCGCATTTTACAAACAAAATTTTCGCTTCAGCCCAGGGGTGGGCAAGGTAGGTAGATCTGCAAAATGGGGACTGCCGGGATTTTGGTGGCGGGGCAGGGACTGCCGGGAGGGCAGGGGAAGACGGCGCGGAGCGCCGGAAAAAATTTGAGATTTTTAACAATTCAACATTGCAGGTAACAAGTATTTCATCGGGAAAACGGAAAGAAGCATTTGTTTGAATATTTGAATTATTGCATGTAATAAGCATTGGGGGTTCTTGGGTACTCAGTAAATTGGAGAATCGAACATCGAACCATATCCTGCATACCCAACCGGCTGTCCGTCTTCGAGACATTTTGGGGGTTTTAAATGAAAAGTGCCTTTTTGAGGGTTTTTCCGGATTAATTCCGCAATACCATGATTTGCAGCTATGGGAGCGGTATCAAATTGTAGAGCTTGTTATTCCACATCGAACCATACCTCACACGGCCCACCGGCAGTCCGACTTCATGGACATGTTGGACTACCAGACCGGAAGACCTGGTTTTTTCGATGTTTTTCCGGCATAATTCCGGAATACGGTAATTTGAGGGCCTGAAAGTGTCACTAGATTATAGATCTCATCATTGCGCGTCGAACCATACCTCACAAGGCCCACCGGCAGTCCGACTTCATGGACATGTTGGACTGCCGGACCGGAAAACCTGGTTTTTCAAGGTTTTTCCGGCATAATTCCGGAATACGGTAATTTGAGGGCCCGAAAGTGGCACGAGATTATAGATCTCATCATTGCGCGTCGAACCATACCCTACATGTCCTTTCGGCAGTCCGACTTCGAGGAAATGTTGGACTGCCGGATTTGAACCCGCATCTGCAAAATGAAAAAAACGGGTTTTTGAGGACCGGGTCGCGACCCTTTAGGGGCCCATATCTCGGGGCCCCAATAGCGCACCGGGACGGTAGATAGCTCATTTTGTAGCTCAGGCTTGGGGCTATCTGGTGGTGTATCAGCCTTCTTAAGGAAACGTAGGAGGCCGGAGATCCTGGACTGCCGAGTTTGAGGCCATTTTGCAGGAGCACATTTTACGAGTTTTTTCTAAAAATCATATCTCGATAATTTCTCGATGGATTTGGCTCAAATTTTCGGAGGAGATGGACCGTAAGCTGTTCTATCCAAGGCATACAAAAGCGAAGCGTCGGCAGTCCGATTTAGGAGGTAAAAAGAGCGATTTACATTCTGCAGACATTTTGCAGGCGCGGGTTCAAATCCGACAGTCCAACATTTCCTCGAAGTCGGACTGCCGAAAGGACATGTAGGGTATGGTTCGACGCACAATGATGAGATCTATCATCTAGTGCCACTTTCAGGCCCTCAAATTACCGTATTCCGGAATTATGCCGGAAAAACCTTGAAAAACCACGTTTTCCGGTCCGGCAGTCCAACATGTCCATGAAGTCGGATTGCCGGTGGGCCTTGTGAGGTATGGTTCGACGCGCAATGACGAGATCTACAATTGGGTGCCACTCTCAGGCCCTCAAATTACCGTATTCCGGAATTATGCCGGAAAAACATCGAAAAACTAGTTTTTCCGTTCCGGCAGTCCAACATGTCATGAAGTCGGACTGCCGAAGGGTCATCTTGGGTATGGTTCGGCGCGCAATGACGATATCTACAATCTGGTGTCACTTTCAGCGTGAAAAATTAACATCTTACGAAAATAGAGCGGAAACCCCTATAAAATAACCCTATTTCCATATATCCGTTCGAACAGCTCAAGGATAACGGACTGCCGACGGGACATATACAGTAACGGACAAAAGTTTATCACCCTCGTTTTTCCGACCTTCTAGAGCGATTTCCCGGAAATCCCCGGTCATAAAACGTTCAATTTACAATTTACTAGATGTAAAATTACACGCTGATTCCGAATTTGATACTTTTAGAGCCGAAAAATTTGATTTTCAGGGCCAAAATTGCGAATAACTTTTTACCCTAAAACACGGTCAAAAACTAACTTTTTTCTGTGACGTTTTCGAGGTGCGCCATTGTGATATTCGGAATCTCCGATGTCAAGTTAGCCGTAATTAGTGTTTTCCGGATTTTTATTGGGTGTCTAGATACCATTTCCGGAAATCGAGCAGTTAGCCTTCGACGGGCCTTTAAAAGAGATTTTTGGCGTATTTCAATAGCGGATCCGGATTCTACAGGGTCGATTACATCAGAAATAGTGTGTTTAAAATGCGAAGAAAACAAAATTATTTTTCTAGAAGCATTTGTTTAGAAAGCGCAACCGCGAAAAGTCAGGTTGTGGAAAGCAGGGCTCGAAACAGGTCAAAAACGATTTTTCGCGGGTTTCTTTTGTATCACATCGGAAAGAGCACTATCGAATGTGTAAGAAAATATTGTTTATGGTACGAAACGGAGAGTTTTATTTTTGGCCATTTTGTTAAGCGAAATCGCAGGACCGGGGGCCACAATTTTTCGGTCGTCGACGACAGTTCTTCTTCTTAATTTTCTCGACTGTTGGAATCGCTAAAAAATTTGGAACAAATAAATCTTGGGTAATTCGATATCGTAGATTCCGAATTTGCTAACGAAAAGTTGCGAAAATGACAGATTAAAAAGTTAGCATATTTTGGTTTTTGGGTTTCTGGCGGCTTCCGATCAATAAATCTCGGATAGTTGAGAACACTTTGTTCTTTGAACAATGTATTTCTACACATTCGATAGTGCTCTTTCCGATGTGATACAAAAGAAACCCGCGAAAAATAGTTTTTGACCTGTTTGGAGCCCTCCTTCTTACAACTCGACTTTTCCCGGGTGCTCTTTCTAAACAAATGCTTCTAGCAAAATAAGTTTGTGGTTTTCGCAAAAGAAACTGATGATTCCTAGTGTAATCAACCCTGTAGAATCCGGATCCGCTATTGAAATACGCCAAAAATCTCTTTTAAAGGCCCGTCGAAGGCTAACTGCTCGATTTCCGGAAATGGTATCTAGACACCCAATCAAAATCCGGAAAACACTTATTACGGCTAACTTGACATCGGAGATTCCGAATATCACAATGGCGCACCTCGAAAACGTCACAGAAAAAGTTTGTTTTTGACCGTGTTTTAGGGTAAAAAGTTATTCGCAATTTTGGCCCTGAAAATCAAATTGTTCGGCTCTAAAAGTATCAAATTCGGAATCAGCGTGTAATTTTACATCTAGTAAATTGTAAATTGAAAGTTTTATGGCCGGGGATTTCCGGGCAATCGCTCTAGAAGGTCGGAAAAATGAGGGTGATAAACTTTTGTCCGTTACTGTAGGCTTATTATATCTTTAAGATGTTCATCTACAGCTTTTCCTTTAGGTAAAACCAATCCCGCCCAAAGATCAACAACGGCTGGTCGAGGCCGAGCAAGCTGTTAAAGCCCTCGGCCAAGAAGCCATTGAAGCCGCTACCGTGATGAATCGCCTCCTCTCGATTCCGCACGTCACCGACACGGCCGACGCAGAGAAGATGATGACCGAGGCTGGGGCTAAGGTAGGAAAGAGAGAGAGAGCGAGAAAGAGCGAGAGAAAGAGAGAAAATCATCCAATTGAACTCTTTAGGTTGACGCCGTCGCGGAACTTGTACAAGATAAGCTCAGAAAAGCCAAGGACCTCGACCAACTCGACATCGAGTTCAACGCCAAGAAGGCCGAATTCGAAAAGTGGCTAAATCGAGCTGAAGATGAAGCCGCGGCCATTGGGCCGTTGAAGACGAGCGCGGAGGAGTTGAAGGAGCAGAAGAAGGAGTGCGCCGAGCTGATCGATCGACTGCCAGAAGGGCAGCCCAATTTGGAGGCGTTGGAGAGGATGTCGATGGCTATTGCGGAGTTGGAGACGGTTCCTGGTAGGCTTATTTAGCTTTGCTTCGGCTTGGGCTTAGTCTTAAACCCGCAAAGTAACCACGAAGCCACTCCTATTTTTAGGAAGCCGCGCAAGCAGCGTCCCACGCAACGTCATGGACCTACGCTCCCGCTACGACCAGCTCGGCTCGTCGCTCCAAGACCGCAGCGACCGCATCGGCGAGCAGCTCGACAAGACCGCACAGCTTGAAGGCCAAGCTGAAGCAGTCCATCGGTGGATCGCCGAGCAGCGAGCGAGACTAGCTAATGAGGTATGTTTAAGCTTGGGCTTAGGCTTAAGACAGGTTTCGCTTACGTTTACCCGGACGAATCCTACCAACACCTTTTCAGCTCCCCCTCGAACTCAACGACAACGCCGTAAAAGCTGCACGCGACAAGCTGGAGAAGATCGAGAAGGATTCCCGCCAAGGCCAACGGCAAATGGATGAAGTTCGAATGCAGGTTGGTAGATGACCTGACTTTCTCTAACTTTTTGATCATCCACAGGCTCGAGAACTCGCGCGCACCAACGCGGAAGCCGGGCGGACGATTGGACAGCTCGAGAGGGCTTTGGACCTTGAATGGGAGGCGCTGCAAACTGGGCAAGATGCCGCACGGAAGCGCATAGATCAGGCAGAGAAGGTTGTTGACCGTCTTGGTCAGCTCGATCGGTGGATTGGGGGCAAGCAAAGGCTTGTTGATGCTCTACCGGCACCGTCGACGGAGCCACATGAGGCCAAGGGGTTGAGGAATCATATTGATATGTTGAAGGTGAGTGAGGAGCAAGAGTTTGGTCTTTCTCACTCTTTCTCTCTCTCACTCTCTCTCTCTCGCTCTCTCGCTCAAGATTGCTCTTTCAGCTCGACGCCGACAACGAGCAGTCCAGTCTCGACCAAGTCGCCAACCTGGCCGAGAAGCTCCTCAACGAAGCCGAGAACGAGGCCGACAAGGAGGCCATCCGAAACAGGATGGAGGAGCTGAAGAAAAGGTGGGGCTCCCTCGGCCAGAGCCTCGATTCTCGTGACGAACAAGCCCGCAGCGCCGCACATCTTGGAGCTGATATCCAGCAGCTGGACCGCCAGATCAAGTGGGTTTTTTGTAGATGAGCAAAAGTTGAAGCCAAGCCTAAGCCTAAGCATCACAAAAAAAACTTCTAGAAAATCGCTACACGACCTCGAACGTGAAGTCGATGCGGCTAGCCGACTCCCCTCCAACGAGATCGAGAAACAGCTGGCCTTGTTGGACTCGTTGAAGCAGAGGGAGGGATCGGTGGAAGAACTCATCGACGCCCTTGCCGAAAAGGAAGCGGAAGCCGGCAGCATCGGCATAGACGCCGGAAACCGTGCGGAAATTGCTGATATCACCCAGGGGAACAGGACGAAGGCTGCTGAGGTAGTTGCACAGGTTTTTGAGCAAGTTCTGGGATTTTTTTAGCTTGACAAGAAGATCGACTCGGTAAAGCAGGCGGCTCTGACAGTGCGTGGCGAGGGTGACGCTCTCGAGAAGCGGCTGGACGCCCTGCTTGGGGACGTGCAGCTGGCAGCTCTAGAAGTGAATAACGTGAGATATTCAAGAGTCAATTCGAGGGCTTGTTCGTCTACTTTCAGGCACCGCCAATCTGCGCGGACCCCACGAAGCTGGCGGAGGCGATGGGACGGTTTGAGAAGGTGTACAGCGGAGTGCTAGGAAGGGAGGGCGACGTCAGCCTGGTCAGGGCCAAGGTGCAAGAGCAGTTGCTGAACAACCCGGAAGCCAAACCAGAGCTTCGGGCAAAGCTTGACCGGCTTGACAAGGAGTGGCCACCACTTTTGGAGGCGACTAAGGAGAAGAGGAACGCTTTGGACAAGGTCAGAAACCCATGAATAGAGTAGATGATATTAATTCTAGGCCAACGAGCTGGTCAAGCAGTTCAAAGACGCCGAGAAGACGTTGAAGCAGCATTTGGAAGATGAGGAAAAGGAATTGGCCAAGGTTAGTGAGGGGTATGAAACGGTAGAGGACCTATTTAAAAGGACTGGTCCCCCTTCCGGCCCTCGGCCCGGGCCCGGGCCCTTCACACGAAGGCGCGCCGGCCCCGCCCGCCCCCCCCCCCCCCCCCCCCAATTATGTTGGGGGGGGGGGGGGGGGGGGAGAAAAAAAAAAAAAGGGGGGGGGGGCGCCCCCCGGCCGCGGAAATTCTTTTGTTTTATTGGCTGAACTAGCCCTTTAAGGCCATCGAGGCGGCCCTTGGAGAAGATAATCCGACAGACGCCTTCCGACCCCTTGAAGCTTCGATCGATCGCAGAGTGAACGAAGCTGAAGCCCTAGATGGACTTGCTGAGAAGTAGGGGGCTGTAGATGATCTTGACCACGATTTTAGGATCGAGAAAACCGCTCCCGGACCGGATGCCCGGCACCTGAAACGTGGGGCCGAAAACCTGCTTGATGACGTCAGAGCTCATGGGAAGAAGGCGAGAACGGCACTGCAGGTCGCCCAGAAAAAGGTTAGCCGAACGTCTTCAAGATGACGAGACATTCTTAGGCCGACCTCCACGCGCGGTTCAAGCGATTGGCCGATGAAGCCTATGGACTTTGCGCTGCCCGTGAAGCTGATCTTGATAGAGATCAAGGGCATTTGAATCGAGAACGCCTTCAAGCCAGTAAGTCGCGGCGTCAGCAACAAGTTCATCACCACATTGCAGAGCTCTCTGAAGTCGAGGCATACTGGGCGAAGACGGGGCGCGAGCTGAAGCAGCTCTCCGATGAGTTGAGCCCGATTCTGCCGGAAGAGCAGGCCCAACAGACCCGCGAGACGGTAGATGAACTGGAGGGGCTGTTTGAGAACCTGTTGGACAAGATGAGGTAAGCTTGTAAGCCTAAGCCAAGCCTAAGCACATCTTCTTCAGATCCGTCGACGGCAAGCTGGCCGAAAAGAAGGACGAAGCCGAGCGCGCGCGCGAGAAGACGAACCGCCTGGCGACGAGGCTGAACTCCTTGTACTCGGTGGGAAATTCGCACTACAACTTAAACTAGGGTCCTTGTAGGACCTCAACGACCTCGAGCCGATCGGGCGCAGCGCGGAGGAGCTGGAGCGTCAGCGCGCGCAGTGCGAAGAGATGGAGTCCGAGCTTGGCGAGCGGGACAAGGAGCTGGCTGACGTTGAAGCCGTTTGGGACGCGGCTGTCAACCACGGAGCCGTCACGCCCGAGCAGTTCGACAACAACCAGCAGCATGTCGACGACTTGAAGAGGGTCAGTTGGTAGATGTATAATTACGCTAATTACGGAAAGTACGGAAATACTCCCGGGCCCTAGAAAATTTTGCTTGTTCTTTTAAAGGGCAAGGAATCGCGATTTTCGCGGTTTTCGGGGTTTTTCGGGATTTTCGGGGTCGGTGTTTTCGCTGTGGGCATTTTGGCTGTCGGGACAGAGGCTGTCAGGATTTTTGCCTGGCAGGATTCCCCATGTAAGCATTTTCCATGTCGGGATTCTGTCTGTCGGGAGCTTGACCTGTCGGTATTTTTAGCTGTCAGGCTTTTGACCTTTCGGGATTTCCGGATTTTGGCTGTCGGTCTTTTTTTCGCTGTCGGCATTTTGCCTTTCGGAATCGCGGTTGTCGGTATTTTGGCCGTTACAGTTTTGTCGTGTCCACCTGTCGGGATTTTCACTGTCGGGATTTCTATCTGTCGGGATTTTCACTGTCGGGATTGCAACCCGTCAGCATTTTGGCTGTCGGTATTTCGAAATAAGTCTCTAAACCCACCAATCGACACTAAAAACTCAACCAAAAACCAAGCCCAGATCCACGAATTCTTTACAAACTTCAAAAGCCCGGCGCCAGGGCTCTGCGTTAAATATGAGCATTTTATAGTCGACTTTTATCGGTCGATGGGCCAGTGAGAGTGCGTGTGAATCATTTCCGCAGCTGTCGAACCCCTGGATTCTCACCAAAAACAGCTATGCTGGGCCTTGGTGTCCAAAAAATTCGATATCCGATCGAATGAACGGATCTGGAATCCAATTCCCGCGCTCGCCCCCATTGCTACCAATTCCGCTGGTATTCCGGTCTGCCACCCAGCGCGCTTGGGTGTACCCTGTCATTAGCTTGCCCCGTGCTCCGCATATGCTAATCACGATCACTGCGATATTGATGCCGTTCCTGTTGTGGAAAGTAGGGGGTTAGGGTAGGCTTGGGCCTATGCTTCGGCTTGGGCTTAGGCTCAGGCTTAGGCTTGAGCTTGGGCTTAGGCTGGGGCTTAAGCTACGGCTTGGGCTAGGCTTAGGCTTAAGCTTAGGCTTAAGTTGGGCTTTGGCTTAGGCATGGGCCTAGGCTTATTTTAGGCTTAGCACAAGCTTAGCTGATTTTTTTAAACCATCCATTTCAGCTAATCGGCAAGGGCAAACGGAAGCTCGGCGACCGCCACAAGAAGATCAACGCCATCGGTGAGGAGGTCGCCAGGGTGGAAAGGTACCTGCTAAAATTTAAAATTTCTACTCGTGATTTAGCGAAGCCAATGCGGTGATCAACGACATTCATCAGTTGCAAGAGTCCCCGGCCCTACAGAACGAGAATGGACTTTCAGAGCCAAAAGCTCAAGCCGAGGTGAGCACGAGTTTCTGAATCTCATTTCTAAAACTAAGCCAAACTTAACCCACTTTTTTCAGGCCCTCCGTCAACTCAAAGATCAGCTAAAACCCACTGCAGAACGAGCTAAAGCCGTCCAGGGTGAATGCAAGGCGCTGATCAAGTCTGCGGCTCCTGAAGCTGACACCAAGCAGCTGGTACGTTGAGCAACAGCTTTTCCAAATTTCCCGCTTTTAGAGCCAAATCCTACAAGACGTCTCCAAGGCCCTTGGCGAAGTCGATGCCCAGATTGGCGCCCGACAGCTCGCTGTTGATGCCGCCGTGCAGCAGATGGGCAGCTACAACGATGCGCAGAGGGTAAGCTAAGCCTAAGTAAGCCAAAATGAGCTTAAACGAATCCAAAGTTAAGCTAAGTGCAAGCCAAGCCAAAGCTAAACTAAGCCTAAATTAAGCTAAGCTAAGCACAAGCTAAGCTTAGGTTAAGTCTACCTAAGCGCAAGCCAAGCCTATTTCTAGGACCTCCAAAACTGGCTCGAAGAAACCGAGGAGCTAGTCGACAACCAGAAGCTCCCCTCAGCAGACGCCAAAGTCGCTCGTGCTCAGCTCCCGAGCTATGATGTCATCCTGAAGCACATCGAGGACAAGCAGGCCTCAGTTGATGGCTTCCAGCAGATGATCGGCAAGCTGGCCGCCCTCACTTCTGATGCTGACGAGAAACGGGCGCTGTCGGCAAAGGCTGACGAGGTAAGAATGTAGCTGGAATTCTAACCTTCCTTTTTCAGATTACCGGTCGATATGAGGAACTGCTAGATGGTGCGCAACGCGGCCAAGCACGTCTACGAGACGCTGTAGATCTGGCGGAGAAGCTGGGGAAGGAGCTCGGGCCGTTCGAGCAGTGGATAGGGAGCACCGAGAAGCGGTAAGGGGGTGTAAATCGGCTGGCTTGAACCTAAGCCTAAGCGTAAGACTGAGCCTAAGCCTAAGATAAGCCTAAGCTAAGTCTGAAACCCAAGCCTAAGCCTAAGCATAAACTAAAAGTAACCCTGAACCGAAGCCTGGGCTTAAGCCTAAGCCCAATACGGATAAACCTAAGCCCACGCCTAAGCCAACTTAAGTCTAAGCCTAAGCCCAAGCCTAACCCTCTCTTCTTTCAGCATCTCCCAACTCGGTAAACTTCCCACAGACACCGAACGTCTCGTGGCCCAAGTCCGAGACGTTGAGGCCATCCAGGACGACATCGACGGCAAGATCGAAGCCGTTCAGAAGCTCTGCCAGGTTTGCTACCAGTAGATGACCACCTCAACTTGCTTCTACTTCAGCTCGGTCCCCGCCTCGCCGCCCTCGTCAGTGTCGAAGAAGCCGGGGCGCTTGAAGCCCAACTTACAGCTGCTACCGCCAAGCATGGACAGCTTGCCGACAGGTTTGAAAAGACTCGTAGAAGACGTCGATCGCTTTCAGAACTGAACAATGTCGAATCGGGCTCGAGGCGATGGCCGAGCAGGTGTCGAACTTTGAGCAAGACGTCGAAGCGTTGGCTGAGTGGCTGACAGCTATCGAGCAGGATATGGCTGATGTTGAGGAACTGCCGATCAATCCTGACGAGTTGTTGGAGCAGACAAATTTGCTATCGGTACGCAGCTTCTTATCAACGTTAATAGCAAGCCTAAGCCTAAGCCTAAGCTAAGCCAAATTCCTTCAGGAACTTGTCGAAAACGTCACTGAAAAAGACGCGCTCGTCTCCAGCGTGTGCCAGGTTGGGAAGGAGTTATGCCGAGAAGCGGCCGCGGAAGATGCTCTTGCACTGCAAGCCCACGTCGAGAAGCTGAAACACCGGTAAGGGGGCTTAAAAATCCAGGAGTTCTAGGCCTAAACCCAAGCCTCGGTCAAGCCAAGCCTAAGCCTAAGCCTTAAACCTCAAATTCAGATACATCCGAGTGGCTGGTTGTGCAGATGAAAAGCTGGCCCTGCTCACCCGAGCCATCCCCCTGTCCGATCAATTCCATGATGGATACGACGGCGTGATGGCTTGGGTTGAAGCAGTCGAAGCCGATCTACACCAAGCTGATGGCTTCGACATTGACACCCAGCAGCAGTTGATCCACTCGTTGGAGATTGACATTCAGGAATGGAGACCCGAGGTGAGGTTGAGCTAAATCTTAAGCGAAGTGGGCTAAGCTAAGCTAACCAAGCCCGGGCGAGGTCGAGAACAAGCTAATTTAAGCGTAAGCTAGGCCTAAGCCTAAGCATAAGCATAAGTCTAAGCCAAACATAAGCATATTCCCAAGTCTGGGCCGAAGTTAAGCAAAAGCCTAAGCCGAAGCCGAAATCCAAGCTTAAGCCCAAGCCGAGCCTAAACCTAAGCCAAGCCTAAACCAAGCCTATGCCTAAGCCAAGCCTAGGCCAAGCCGCTGTAAGCCCCGGCCAAGGGAACGCTATGCTTCACCACCTGAATCACACTTTACGACCCAGATTGATACGACCGCTCATAGCTCGGGCACTTTATATCGATCCCTCCATCCCTGACCACCTTGAAAACGTTGTAGGTCGACGCCCTCGTCGCCGCCAGCTCCCAACTCCAACAGCTCGCCGGGCCACCCCGCGCCGACGAACTCTACGCACACACCGCCGAGATGCAAAAGCGCGTCAACCAGATTGCCGACCAGGTCAATCGACGTGCCGAACGGCTCGAACTCGCTGACCGGGCAACCCGAGGAGTGGTAGATGAACTCGACTACGCCTTGGAGTGGTTCAACGACGCCAAGGAGCGCGTGATGCATGCCGAGCCACTGGCTATTGATCCGACGTACTTGAATGTGAGTCAGGGCTTGGATTGAGAAGACGTACATTTAGACGCAACTTCGGCATCAGAAGGCGTTGAACGAGGACTTGCTGGATCAGCAGGCAAAGTTGAGGAACACGGCGATTGACTGCAGGAAGGTGGCCAGGCAACTTGGGTCTGATGGGGGGACAGGATGCGCTGCTACTTGAGAAGGTAGGAGGGGCTCGATGTCTCTCTCTCTCTCTCTCTCTCTCTCTCTCTCTCTCTTGTTTTCTATCTGTCTCTCTTTTCTTCCTCCTTTTTCCTCCTCTTCTTCTCTCTCGCTCTCTCTCTCTCTTTCTCTCTCGCCCGTCTCCCCCCTCTCTCTCTCTCTGTCTGTCTCGCCTTCGCTCTCTCTCTCCCTCTCTACCCCTATCTTTCAGGCGGAAGTAGCCATGCAGCTGAGCGATGAAGTCTCCCAACTGTGCAAGGAAAGAACAGAAATTCTTGGCCAAGTAAGTATCCCTGAACTCCTCCAACTCCTCGTTTAGACCCTCGCCCACGTCGACGAGATCGGCCACTCGTTCGAGGACATGAACCGCTGGCTCGACGAGGTCGAGCGAGATCTAGCTGGTCAGCCATCCGTCACGACAGCTACTCCTTCGCATGAGTTGGCCAAGCAGCAGCAGCACAACTTGGTGAGTTGGAGACGGAAAGAGAGAGAGAGAGAGAACGAGAACGAGGTCCAATAATTCCAGGAGCTCTCCGCCGTCATCGCCGCCCAAACCCCATTGGTCGAGCGCTTCGAGTACAACGTCAACTCCCTTGCCGAACTCGTCGGCCCCGCCGATGTCCAAGCTCTGCGCCAAATCTACGATCAAATTGTTGGCCGCTACAATGACGTGAAAAACCAAGTGAAATCGAGAGGAGAAGCCATTGACAGTATCTTGGATGCGACAGAGGGTACTTTATCGCTTTTATAACGATTTATCCCAAATTTTAGCATTCGGCGATCGTCTCGACGTCTTCTTGGCGACGCTGGAAGGAGCCGCAGAATCGCTACGTCAGCCAGCCGCTGTGTCGGCAGACCCTGGGTTGCTCCAGAATCGCATTGCCGAGAATGAGGCGCTTTTGGACTCGTTGAGGGAGAAGGTATGTGATCTCGAGCCAAGCCAAAGTCTAAGCCTAAGCCGAGTGTAAGCCAAGCATAAGTAAGGTACGCACGAGCTAAGCCTAAGCCCATACTTAAGCTTAGGCCTACCTAAGCTAAACCTAAGCCTAGCCGAAGCACAAACCTTGATTAAGCTAAACTTAAGCTAGAACTGGAGCTAAGTTATACTTCAGGCGAGCCTAAGCCGAGCTTAAGCCTAGGCCTGTCTAAGCTTAAGGCTAAACCCAAACGTAAGCTAAACTTAAGCCTGACCTAAGCCTAAACCTAAGTTAGACCTAATTCTAAGCCTAAGCTCGACCTATACGCAAGCTTAAGCCAAGCCGAAGCTAATAAGCCTAAGCCTAAGCTAGCCCAACTTTTCCAGGAAGCCGCCCTCGACGCGATGAAGGAACGAGCAAACGAGCTTCTCGCCAGGGCACAGCCAGGCGATGCTGCCGCTTCAGAAGTGGCCGCCAAGATCCAGGCCCTCGAGCAGTTGTGGGGCGAAATCGGAAGAGGTGCCGAGATGCGCGGCGCGTTCCTCAACGACGCGCTCGCCAAGGCGCACCAATTCTGGGCCGAGCTCGACGACTGCCAGAAGGCCATCGACGACTTGAAGGTGGGTTTTGCGGGTTTAGAAGGACTGAAAATAGTACTGTACTGTACTACTGTAGGGATTGAGGTACTGTAGGCTTCTAGTATTGCGTTACGATATCAAAATTACCATAAAAATATAAAAAATAGTGGAAAGGTATCGATTTACGACATGTAATGAAGACAGCGTCGCTAAAGATAATACTAAATTTTACTATTTTACGAGTAAATACCTATGTTTTTTTAAAATCTATCCAATTACGACACTTAATTCCAATTCCGGTATATCTGTTTACGACATGTAAATGATTTATAAAAAAATAAATTCTTCAATTGCCTCATCAAATTCCGGGTTATTTTGAAAATGTCGAAATTTTATACTGTCGTAAGTTCGGAATTTCGAAATTTACATAGGCAAATCTCGCGCAAAAAAGGGCCAAATCCTATGCAAAAAATGATGTCGATATTACGATTTTCGACGTTTTATCGGCAATATGAAATTTTCGATTTAGAAAATTTCGGCGTTATGAATTTCGATATTACAAATTTAAAAATTGTGTTTTTCGACATTGGAAATTTGGCTCTTATTTCGACAATGATTTCGATATTACGTTTTCGAAATTCGGATTCGACTTGGTTGGCATTCTGAAATTTCGAGATTCTGAATCTTGAATTTAGGCGTTTCGAAATTATCACGACTAATCCAAAATTCTAGGCCCGCCTCGAGACCCTGGAGCCAGCCATCGGACAACCAGAACGACTACGCGAGCAGCAACAGGGCCTCACCGATATCGATGGGGCAGTGAGAGACACAAGGCCCCGCATCGACAGCCTTCGGTATGGACTGTGGTCTAGGGGATAGCATGCGCGCCTCTGACCCACACGACCCGGGTTCGACCCCCGTCGCAGGCACCTGCTGTTGCCATTGCCTTCAGATGGTGACTTCCTTGAGACCTGCTACAGTAACTGGCCCCTTGTTTGACAGTCTGCCCAGCTATTGGGATGGATTGATAGAATTGGGGTCACATTTTAGGGTTTTGTTGTTTTTTGAAACCGCACTGGTTCTAAAAAAATACTGTAACTCGGTCGTTTTAGCTCCGATCACTATGTATATTTTTGCCGTAGATGCCAGAGGCTACAAACTACACACAGAAAAAATTTCAGGGTTAAAGATTGTAAAATTATTTAAGAAAAACATTTTTACATTTTTCAGAAACTCTTCAATGGTGTAATTTCGTTTATTTACGTCCGATTCTTACGAAAATTCTACATTAATTGTCAAAAGCTGTGAACAATATTCCAACCAAATCTTCTATTTAAATTTTAACAAATAAAAAATTGTTCACAAAAACTAATTTTATACGCATGGTGGACTTGCTCGACTTTTCTTGATTTTTCTCAATTATTTTTGAAATCGATTATCTTAAAAGATTTTCGTGGAGACGAGCTAGCAAAGGCCATTTAGGAAGTGACAAAACCCCCATTTTTTAGACATGCCGAAGCCCAACTTTTGGCCATCATCCCCGAGGAGGAGCAGATGGTGGTTGGCCAGCAGGTTGAGATGGTGGAAGCGGGTCTCGGCACGATTACAAAGGTATCGAGATCATTTAATTAAGATTTTATTGTTTTAACATAATTTAGCTGTTCTCCGACAAGAGCCTCCACCTCGGCAAGGCCATGGAGGAGGCCATGCAGTTCCACGACGACCTGTCGGCGCTGCACGAGTTTTTGGAGGCTGCTGAGCAGGTAAAAAACTACTCTCTCTCAAACTCTCGCCCTTTCTCTCTCTCTAACTCCCTTTTTAGCGCCTCCACTCCATGGGCCCAGCCGAAAACGTGGCCGTCGAGGAGATCCAACCCAAGCTCGAGGAGCTCCAGCTTTTCCGGTGAGCATGAGGTGGTAGATGCTCATTAAAGTCTGAAATTGCAGAGCCGAACTTGACGATCACGCCGTGCTGAAAGAAGAAGTCAACCAGAAGGCACACGGCCTGACAATTGGCCGTCCTGCGCATCAAACTGCCGCAGTGAGAGTGCCGATCGCCGGTAAGTTCTCTCTCTTCTCGCCCTCTCTCTCTCTCTCTCTCTCTCTCTCTCTCTCTCTCTCTCTCTCTCTACCTCCCCATTCCAGAACTCAACGGCCGATGGTCCAAACTCTACGGCGACATTGCCGACCGTGAGCACAAGATCGAGAGGGCCATGCTCGAGATGGGACGCCTTGGCGAAGCCGTAGCCCAGCTGACCGCTTGGATCGAAAAGACCCGGTCCACCGTCCACGACATCGCCGCCCAACCCTCCACCAACCTCCGCGCCGTCGAGATCGCGCAGTGCAAGCTAGCCGTCGTCAACAATGACGTTCATGCTCATGAACCAAGCATCAACTCGATCAATGCCACCGCCAACAAGCTGAGGGCCCAGGGCGGAGACGCTACAACCACCAAACGTGTCGAGGAGATGAACGAAAAGTGGGCCGGGCTTGGAAATGAGCTGAGCGAGCTGTCGGCACGCCTTGAGCGGGCCAAGGGAGCTGCGGAGGACATTGGGGGCGAGATGGAGCGGTGGTTGGCCTATGTGGAGCATGTCGAGTCTCAGCTGGAGACGACAAGGCCGACGGGAGGACTTCCGGAAACGGCTCGCCAACAACTGGACGACTTCTTGGGGTTGAAACGGGAGGTGAGTACTTGTTGAAATTGTTGGGCTAAGCCTAAGCTAAGCCTAAGCTAAGCCTAATCTAAGCCTAAGCCTGATCTAAGCCTAAGCCTAAGCCCAAGCCATTTAGGTCGACCGCAACACCTCCCCCCTCGAAGCCCACGTGGCCATCACCGAGGAGTACCTAGCCGAACACCCCGAAGATGAGGGATCGTGGATTGGGAAGAGTGCCCATACGCTCCGCCATAAATGGAATCGATGCCGGGATCTTCTATCGGATCGGGAGAAGAAGCTGGGGCTCGCCTTGGAGGAGGCCATCGCCCTTGATCACCAGATGAACGACACGGCCCACTGGGTGTCTGGGATCGAGCAGATGCTGGCTGGTACTTTCTTAAAAAAATTCTAGAACAAAACAGAAAAAGTAAAAAGAATTTAAAATTTAAATTTGGGCAACAAAACGTATTTTTTGTATTTTTATCAAAATTTGCCACGTTCTTACGCTTGAAAAACAGGAGTAAAGCCCAAAAACCTTTTTTAGAGCTCGCCCCCGTTGGTCGTCTACCCGAGGTTCTCGCAAAACAAAAAGCTGAGCAGCAACAGATGGCGGAGCAAGTGGCCGACAAGTCAGTTGAATTTGGGTTGAGCATGAACTCAAAAAATTCCAGAAAAACCGAGATGACCGAGATGCAAGCGACGGGCACGCGGATGCAGTACTACTGCGAGAAGAAGGACGCGATTCCGATCAAGAACGGGCTCGTCTCGTTGCGGCACCGGTTTGAAAAGGTTGCGCAGAAGGTTGCTGAACGTGGAAAGGTAAGAGAACTTAAGGGGAGGGTGCTGTTCGTCTTTCAAGGGCTTTTGAACGCTGTAAAAATCATTCCGACCCGATACTATTGACGGGAGTTATGGGTCGGTTACGATTTTTTCAGCAACTCGAGCACGCGCAAGGGGAGACGGACTCATGGCTGGAGAGCGCGAAGGATCTCGAGTTCTGGATGGCCGAGATGGGGATCAGACTCGACGAGGAGGCACCCGGAAGTGCTAACCATCAGAAGCTGCTGGAATGGAGGGACGAGGCAAAGGTAAAGGCAGGAAGGAGATCTTTATCTATCTCGCTCTCTCTCTCTCTCTCTCTCTTCTCTCTTCTCTTCTCCCTCCCCCGCCTCTCCTCTCTCTCCCTCTCTCTCTCTCCCCTCTCCCCTCTCTCTCTCTCTCTCCTCTCTCTCTCTCCTCTCTCCCCTCTCTCTCTTTCTCTCTCACTCTCATTCTCGCTCTTTCTCTCTCCCCCCCCCTGCCTTTCCTCCTTTCCGCTCCCTCCTCTCTCCCTCCTCTCCTCTCTCTTCTCTCTCCCTCTCTCTCTTCTCTCCTCTCCCCCCCCGCCCTTTCCAGGAAGCCCAAGCCGAACTCACCGCCAAACGCCCGGAATACGAGGCGGTACGCAGAAGAGGCCAATCAGTCTGCGACCACGCCCCCAAGGCTGAACGCCGCGAACTTGAGGGACGATCCGACGGCCTGAAGAAGGAGTGGGAGCGGCTCGACAAGATGTCGAAGGAACGTCTCCGAAAGGCCGAAGAAGCCGTACTGGAGAGCGGGGCCTTCGAGGATGCCATCGCCGACCTGGAGGCGTGGTGCGATGCTGAACTCCTTGATGCCGAGACGGACCTGGCTATGGATGTAGGGATTTTTTGAAGAACGTAATGACTTCTGTTTTAGGGCGCGAAGGTGCACGGCGACGTGGAGACGGTCAGGGGACTGCAGGAGAGAGATGCAAAGCGAGGCGAAGAGAGAGCGGTGAAGAAGGGACAAGTCGAGAGGCTGCTCAAGAAGGCTGACGAGCTCGTGCAAAGGGGAGTGGCTGAGGGAGAAGCTGTACTTGAAGCCAAGCACAATCTGCAGGACAAGTGGAGCGCGGTAAGTCGACTTGGTTAGAGGAAAAAGCTTTTGAAGCCTGTGAAGCCGGTTCAAGTTCTCTCTTCGGAAATATCCGGAAAATCCGTTTTCAGAGCTCAAGATTCTCAAGCTCCTCAAGCTCACCTCAGACTCCTAGAAGGCTTTTTTAGACCAGTTTTTTGCGCTGATTCCGAATCTGCAACTAATTTTTGGCAAAAACTTTGATTCTCGAAATATAATCGATTTCTCACGTTTTTCTCGAAAATTCACAACCCAAGATTCATGCTTCTGAAGCTTCTGAAGCCCGCCTGAAGCTTGAGTGAAGCTTTTCTAAACCAGTTTTTTGTGCTGTTTCTAAATCTGCATTCATTTTTCGCCGAAAATAAACTTTGGAGATGTAGCTCATTTTTTTAGAAGTTTAGTGAAATCCGCCAAAAATTGCCAGGTTTTTGCATAAAACCCGGTTTAACTCAAAAAATATAACCCGTATCAAAAATCGGTATGCAGATTCGGAATCAGCGCCAAAAAACTGGTCTAGAAACTTGATTTCAGGGGCAATAAATCAATCCAAAATTCCCAGATCGAAGCCGCCGCGGACGCGCGCGCGGAAGCGCTGCGGAAGGCGATGGAACAAGCCGAAGACTTTGACGCGAAGGCCCATGGGCTGTTGGCTTGGATGGACGGGCTGGACGACAGGTTGAAGGCCGCCGGAAAGGAGCCCAACCTCGACAAGGCCATCCCCGCCGCGCAGGCCGTGCTCGACGAGTTGAAGGTGGGCAGCGTCTTCAAGAAGGTCATCCGTATTTAGGCAGAGGAGGCCAGGAAAGAGGTCGTGCTCGCTCGAGGTCAAGACATTCTCCAGAAAGCGCATCCGAATGCCGAGCAGCCGATGCGGCATTGGAATCGACTGCTGGCGGCTAGGTGGAAGGTAGATGAAGTTTTGGTTGTACTGCTTGGAGTCGAGGGATTCCCTTAAATTCAGAAATCATTTAATTAATTTTTGTTAAGCGCTTATAAAAAATAATTTTCCGCTTTCAGGAAGTCGAAGATCAAGCCCTCGAAAAGGTGGCCGACCTCAAGGAGCAGCGCCAGAAGAGCGAGGAGCGCGAGAAGGCCATCAAGGTAAGCCTAAGCGAAGCCGAAGCTTAACCTAAGCCAAGCCTAAGCCTAAGCTATTATACCGTATCCCTTCAGGAGCTGATCACCTTCGTCACCAAGAAGCGCGGTGAGCTGGGCGACATGATCGCGGCGCCGACGCCTGAAGATTTGGATACGGTAGGTGGAGCACAATTTAAAATTTACTAGATTATGGCTTAAATTAGCGATTTTTAATAAGCTTAAAGCTCTTAAATTTTCCCTTAATTCACGATTTAAACCAATTAAACCAATTCAGGAGGACGCGCTGCAGCTAGTAAGTTTCCTCCCCCTAAAAGTTGCCCTTTATTTGTCCGCCAAAAATTCCTTCTGTTGCCGTTTTCATTTTATACGGTGTACTGCCAGGGCACGCGACGCGTTGCCTTGCTGAACCCCTTGAAGTCGTTGTACTTCCCGCTGTGCCTAAAAAATGGTATTTTCGCGAAAATTCCTGGAATTTCAGGTAGACCGAATGCTGCAAGACTACGAGCTGCTCGACTTTGAGCTGCGAGAGAAGCAGCCGGATGTCGAGGAGACGATCCAGGGCGGCCAGAAGGATAAGTAGGTTTATTTGGATCGTAGCGTAGCGTACAGTAGCGTAACGTAGTCTAACGTAGCGTAACGTACCGGAGTGCAGGACAAAGTAACGTAGCTTAGCGTAGCGTACAACGGTAGCCTAGCCTACTAGCCAACGTAGTGTACCGTAACGCTCCGTAGCGTACCGTATCGTAGTGCAGAGTGTCCTAACGGAGCTTAGCGTACAGCGTGGTAGCGTCTGGTATCGTATGGTGCCGTAGCGTATCGTAGTTTTTGATGGCGTATTGTGGTGTAGTGTAACGCACTGCGGCGTGGCGTATCGTAACGTATGGCATAAGCTTCCGTAGCATAATTCACTAGATACCTTAGGCTGGCGTATCGTATCGTATCAAACGCAAAAAAGCTAAAGCAAACCGTATGCTAAGCGAGCCTACCGTAGCCTACGTAGCGTAACTTCCGTTTTCCAGGAACCCTCGTGCCTCCCAACTCTCAGACGAGTGGAAACGAGTTTGGCTCGATGCGATGGGCCACAAAAACGCGCTCGACGAGGCCAAGGAGATGCTAGAGGAGATGAAGCGGCTGGAGGGATGGGAATGGGAGGATTGGAAGGAGAGGTACGTGGCAAAAATCTAGACGGATACCGTAGCCTAGCGTACTGTAACGTAGCATATATACAAATTTTCCTTTCTCCTTCAGATACTGCGACTGGAACGACCACGCTAAAGGGAGGGTGACAGATCTGTTCCGCCGGATCGACCGGACGGCCACCGGAAATGTGCCAAGACAGGCGTTCATTGATGCCATTATCAATAGTCGTAAGTTTCACGGATTCGACAAAATAGTTATTCTCGCATTGGCTCGTTTTTCGTGCACTTCCGGTCCGGAACCACGACCCTTTCCCTTCCAGGCTTCCCCACCTCACGACTCGAAATGGAGAAAAGTGGCTGACCTGTTCGACAACAACGGCTTCATCAACCATAAGGATTTCACCAACGCCCTACGCTTTGATAAGACGGTATTAGCTGATTTTTTAGCAAATTTAACCTTATTTTAGCGTCGCGTCGAGCCTCGTACTGACGGTGAAAGGATCGCGGTTGAGATTGAGCGCCAGGTGCGCGGATGTTCGTGCTGTCAGCCCTACAAGATTGAGAGGATCGCTGAAGGACAGTATCGGGTGAGTACGCTAGGATACGTGAGGATACGCTGCGCTACGTTGCGCTACATTAAACTACGTTACACACTTTCCCTATGTATCTTTACGTAACGATAGACTGCGTAGCGTGGTGTAGTGCTAGGGTACACAAATCAGAGGGATAAGATCGGCCAAATACGCTGAGATACGATAGGATACGCTCAGATACGCTACGATACGTGCAGATACGTTACGCTACGTAAGCCTGCATCCGGTACATTTACCCTACACTACGATAGCCTGCGTAGCATTACGTAGCGCTGGGGTTTTGGGTGGGGCTTGGTCCCCCCCTTTTTTTTTTTTTTTTCCCCCCTCAACCCCCCCCCCTCTAAAACCCCTCTCGGAAAAACCCCCCCCCCCCCCCCCCCCTATTTAGGGGGATAAAGCAGGGGGACAATACCCGGTGCCTACGCTAGGATACGTTGCGCTACGCTAGACTACATTACACTACGTGGCGCTACGTCACGTTATTTTTAGTACCTTTACGCTACAATACTATACGCAGCGCTACGTGACGTTACTTAGCTTTATTACGGTACTTGACTTTATACGGTACGCTACGTAAAGCTACAGTACGCTACAATACTATACCTTTTCGCTAGGTCACGCTACGACAAGGCTTGTTACCCGGCGCTAGCTCTTTTCTAGCAAAACCTAATCCCAAATTCGTATACAGTACTCTCTGGTCGTCCACCGTACGCCTAACGCCTTTGGACAGGTTACCAGGAAAATTGTGTTAATCGTGGTGCGGCGATCGGCTTCTACGGCTGTCCCTTTCCGCATGAATACTGTTAGCGAATTTAGGCCACGCCCCTAGAGAACCAGAAAATCAGCTAATTTTAAATATTTAGTTCGGCGATACGCAAATCAAGCGGATGGTACGGATATTACGATCGACGGTGATGGTTCGAGTCGGAGGAGGATGGGTGTGTCTCGAGGAGTTCTTGAAGAGCCACGATCCGTGTCGGGCGACGAGTAAGTGGGAGAGAGAAAGAGAGAGAGATAGAGAGAGAGAGAGAGACAGAGAGAGAGACAGGAATACCATAAACATCATATTTTAGAACGCCGTAACGATGTGCTGAACAACCTGCGTGGCAGCAACGAGCGCATCATCCGCGACAGCATGGAGATGTTCACCAAAAACCGTCATGCTCGCTTTGGGTCTTCAGATTCTGAGCCGCAATTTGCGGTGCCGGGACCGATTATTAAGATCAGGTGCGAGAGAGATAGTGTGTGTGAGGGATAGATGGCGAGAGAGAGAGGGGGAGAGAGGGAGTTAGTAGAGCGGGGAGGCGAGAGGTGTGCGGGAAAAAGAGAGAGATGAAGCAAATTCGAGTAACAGCAGAGATCATTGCGCCTAGGGAGCGCGAGAGAGCGAGAGAGAGAGACGAGACAGCAGAGAAGACCATCAGAAATCCAAATTCAAATCCTCCTTTTTCAGAGAAAAAACCGAGCGCAGCATGCCAATGTTCCCGGGGCAACATCGCCCGGGCGGCTCGGCCCATTCCTCGAATTCCCGCCTCCGAACCCCGTCCGACGTCTCGCTAGGAGATTCCCGAATCGGTAGGCTGCTATATACGATATCGAAAGACGCTTCTTACATTTAGGCAAAGGATGGCCTGGGAACTCTCCGTTTGGGTCCCAGCAATCGCTGGATAAGGGGAGCCGACCCCCAAGTAGAGCAAGCGAGAGTGGACCCGATAAGCCGACGAGGATACCTTCGTTGAGGGGAAAGAAGGGAGTACGGTAGGTGGTTATTTGTTTTAAAGGGACTTGGAAGTCAAATTCTACCTGGCAGGCTAGCAGAGATTATTGAGAAAGCGAGCCCAGGTTAGCAGAGATCATTGGGGAAGCGAGGACAGGCTGGCAGAGTTTATTTGAGCTGGATCTTTCCCACTATCGGTGGGGAAAATAAATCCTTTTTCTTAAGATCCGATTTTTATAATATAAATGGTAGTGTTTTTAAACGGTTTCTTCACTACTTTCAAGCGTAAAAACTACACAATTTACAAATTTTATAAAATATACAAATTTATCCATTTTTCAAGCGATATTTCGACCAAATAATTTTATAAATTTTTCGTTGTTTTTTGTTTGAAATATAGCTAATTTGTAAGAGTTTTCTAATACCAGTCCCCAAATTTTCAGATACAACCCGCCACGCCAGCTCTAAGCTCAACACCAAATTTGCGTTTTAGCGATTGATTTATCTTTTTCTACTCAACATTTTATGCAATTTTTGCCCATTTTTGCTCACCAACCATGACTACTGTAGCTTTGATGGGTTTTCGATATTTTTGCCCACTTTTTTGCGCAATTCCCAGATGCTCCACACGCCTTGTTGTCGATGCCGGTTATCAGTTGTTCCCAGAAATGTTTTTTTTTGCGATTGATTCTTGGCCTTTTATGCAAATTATGCAGAACACATGCCTTAAAAAATGCGTCCCGCGATCTGAAAAAGTATTTATGATTTTTTTATGTTTTTTCTGCGTTTTATTATTATTTATTTGCCTTTTTCACGATTTTTCGCCTTTCCGATCCCCGTTATTTTTTGTGGTTGTGTGCAAGTGATTTGATCATGTGGATAAATATTATGAAATTAAAGTTTGCGAAATTTTACACACAGTAAATATCTTAAATTGGCTTCAAAATGAATTATAGAACATTTTATTTATTTTTATTACTTTGTAAAAACACATCGTTCCTAAATAATCTCTCTGCTAGACCGCCAGGGCTTGGAATTAGGCCAGTGGCAGGCTAGCAGAGATTCCTTGAGGAAGGGCAAGCTAGCAGAGACTCTTTGTGGAAGGCAGGCTAGCAGAGATTCTTTGAGGAGGGGCAGGCTAGCAGAGATTCTTTGAGGAGGGGCAGGCTAGCAGAGATTCTTTGTGGAAGGGCAGGCTGGCAGAGATTCTTTGAGGAAGGGCAGGCTAGCAGAGATTCTTTGAGGAAGGGCAGGCTAGCAGAGATTCTTTGAGGAAGGGCAGGCTAGCAGAGATTCTTTGAGGAAGGGCAGGCTAGCAGAGATCACTCGGGAATCTCTTGCAGATCAAAACAAGGAAACCGATTCTCACCAAAATAGTTGCCCATCCTCTTGGATTCGCCAACCAGGTGGGAAGGGCGAAAAATTGAGATCCATCACTTTGAGAGAAACTGCCAAAACGCAATTTTCTTTTCCCCGGAAATGAACGCCCGGCTATTGATCGCTTTATTCAGTTTGCTAGCTGTTGCGCTGGGTCTGGAATGTTATACCGGATTCACGTATATTCGGGTGAGTTTTTTGAGGGGAAGGGGTAGGATAGAGAGATTTTTGGGGAAAAATTGAGGAAGGGCAGTTAGCTGAAGTCATTTAAACTTACGGACAATCCAGACCAAAGCCGAAATTTAAGCCGAAGCCAAGCCTGAGCCTAAGCCGAAAGAGGCGGCTTTACACCGATCCTTTAGCAATCGTTATGCTAGCGATTTTCCCAAAGAAAATCATAGAAGCATAGGTTCCAAGATTCCTCAATAACCTCTGCTAGCACTCCCATTCCGATTCCATCAATTTGTCGATATTGCCTATCTTTTTAGGGTCAAAGTGTCGGAACTAACAAGGAAACATGCAGTTCGCCCAAGGATTTTTGCTACAATGCGACAGCTGATATGACAAACTTGAATCTGGTCTCGAGATCTGGGTGCTCGAATCTGCTATGCAAGGTGAGAGAGAGAGGGAGCGCGCGAAAGAGAGAGGGAGAGAGAGAGAGAGAGAGAGAGAGAGAGAGGGCGAGCGAGAATCCTAAATCCTTCCAGGTCGCCAAAAACAAATGCATCGATCAGTCGTTCCTGGGAAAAAAGACCCGGTTTTGCTGCTGCAACGACGGAGATCTCTGCAATTCGAAGAGAGCGGTAAGGCTTTCAATTTCTTGAGCGAGCAAGCTAGCAGAGATCATTGTGGAAGCGAGGGCAGGCTAGCAGAGATTATTTTCGCCATTTTCAGGCGATGAACACCGTCGAGAAGTTCGCGGATCGCATGCATGACTTTTCGAAGATTTTCGGTTAATGGTGGATTTCTGTAAGGCGTAAATAAACTTTATCCTCAGGCCAGAACGAGCAAAAATTCACAGGAAATAGACGGAAAGAAAAACGCGGATTTTTCTGAGCAGAAAAGGTGGACAGCGCACTAATAAGCCCGGGCCTAAGCCAACATAAGCTTAAACCTAAGCCTAAGCCTAAACTAAGCCGAAGCTAAGCCTAAGCTAAGCCCTAAGCTAAGCCTAAGCTAAGCCTAAGCCTAAGCTAAGCCTAAGGCTAATTACAGAAACCTAAGCTAAGCCTAAGCTTAAGCCTAAGCCCAAGTCTAAGCTTAAGTCCACCTAAGCCTAAGTCTTAAGCTTGGCCAAGCCTAAGCCCAAGCCCATTAGTGCACCAACAAACTACACGACCTCTAAAATCTTTCAAAAATAAATATCGAAATTTTGGGGAAAGAGATGAGTAGCGAGTGTAGGTACAAAGCTCTGGACAGGGAAGGGACATTAGAAAATAGATAAAAAAATTTTGGATTTATCATAATTTTAAATGAATTTTATAACGGCATTCATGAAAATAGGCGCGCCATCGTTTTGAATTTTTGCTCGAGGATGTCGATGCGGGCCTCCAGCTTCATCTGGTTCTGCTTCAGTTCGCGGTTGTCTTTTCGGAGCTGGAAATTTTGGGGTTTATGGTGGGAAATCTGGCAGAGATCATTGAGGACGTGAGGGTAGGCTAGCAGATATGAGGAATCCACTCACTTTTTCATTCGATTGCTGTAGTTGTTCCATCTCCCACATGATGTCGTCTCGAGTCTAGAATTTTTGTGGCTGGAGAGAGAAAGAAAAGAGCGAGGAGGGGGCAGCGAGAGAGCGAGAGGGAGGGAGAGAGAGAGAGAGAGGGAGGGAGAGAGAGAGAGAGAGAGAGAGAGGGGGAGTGAGAGTGGGGGGTGGGTGGGTAACGCGAGGTGGAGCTAGGGGGAGGGAGAGCGGGGGGAGTGAAGGCAGAGAGATTACCTTCGCATTATCCTTTTCCATCTTCTGCACTGAGGTCTCCACCAAGAACGAGTCGAGCCGGATGAGCTTGTGCGCTGCCTTCAGCCGAGCACTCTCCCCAAGTCGTTCTTCCATGATTCTGTAATTCCGGTGTATTTTAGGAAGCCGAAGCCATTCATAGAAGCCTAAGCATAAGCCTAAGCCCAAGCCTAAACTTAAGTCTAACCTTCAAGTTACTCACCCCTCCAAGTTGTCCTTATAGTGCATCGAGGCTCGCTTGGCCAAAACGGCTACAGACTCCCAGGAGACGTCAGTCTAAAATTGTTGTTTTTCTTATCGTATTCCTAATTCTCATTTTTCGTTTAGTACTGCGATATGGGCTGACCTGCTTGCCGCTGTTGATCATGTCCTCGATCTGCTTCAGAAAGCCGAATGTCTTGTCGAGGAGAATGCCGTAGGGGAAGCAGCCGACTCCTGAAAATTCACATTTTTGTTTCTACCGTATCTTTCGTATTTTGTCGTTTTTAGGATTTCCTAACTGCCGTACCCTCATCCAACGCGGCTCGCATGACGTCGACCTGGTTGAGGATGTGCACCTGGAAATGGGCAAGTTGAGAAACAGGGCGAGCTAGCAGGGATTCTTGAGGAAATTTTAGTGTCTACAGGGTGTCCCAAAATTATCCGGACAAAACTGAAAACTGACTTTTACAATTTTTCCGCTGTTTTCGGCCTCCGCATTGTATTTCATAATATTTTTTGAGGCATTTTCGATGCACCGTGCAAAAAAAATTCTTGGAGAACGCAAAATAGCTTCACAATCGAGCGAAGAGCATGTTAAAATTTTTCGCCTCTTAAATAACATAAAAATTGCGGTAGACTTTCAAAATGTGCTCAGACGTTTTTGTGGGCAAGAAATGACGTTTTGTGGCAAAACGGACCTAACTCCGGAAAGATTCCGACATGTTAATGGTCATTTTTCCGTTTAATACCGATTTCCATCCAATTACTGGGCAAGCTGTTTCGATGCTTGCTCGTGCTCAAGCTCCTCAAAAATCAAAGTTAGCTTAATTTAAATCGCTTGTGCATCATCGTTACCGCCAAAAGTTTATGCCTCTAGTCTTTGACAACAATCATATCGCGTTTTTAGGGTTCCTCCAGGGCAAAACCTTTAAGGCAACCGGGGCGGCGCGTACATCGATTTCAACTTTTTTTGCTGGCTGTTTTTTTTCTGGTGTAAACCTAGGGTTTTTGGGCCGGCTAAAGTATTGACTGGTCATTTCCGAACTCTTCCTGTGGTTTCTTCGTTCGTCCGGTCATGCTGGAGTTTCTTATGGGATCGGAAAGCATGCGCGTTTTTAGCGTTTGCAAGGAGAGAGAAATTTGGTTCGAACTTCTCCAATTTATTGCGAAGAGATATGACGGATTCACGCGCAGTTTTTTTAAAGCTTATTAAATACACTTCAACGGTTCATAGAAATTAAATTATGGTCTGCAAAAATAGGGAAAAACTAGCAAAAAGCCGCTTTGCAACTTTGTCCGGATAATTTTGGGACACCCTGTATTAATGCGCTAATTATATAGATAAGCCGGCAGATATTTTAAGGAAGTGCTGCTAGTGTGTTCATCTACCTGAATATTGGTCAGCACGCTGGTCGGGTAGTACAGCCCAGGGTCCTTTTGAACAAGCCGCTGCAGCCGCATTAATAGCTTGTCCGACTTGTCGATGAGTTGGTAGTAGCCGCTGTTCAGCATCTGCCCGCAAATCTCGTCCCAATGCGGGTGGACTTGCCGAAGTCGGGCCAGCTAAAAAATTTAAAATTTTTAAGTTTTCGGGTATGTTTACCTCCTGATAGCTCATCAACCGCAGCGCCTTGTTGAGCACGACGAAGGGGAGGTCGCCCGATTGGCTCGGCATTTCCTGAAAAAAAACTGATTTTGATTTCTTGTCCTTTTTACTTATGAACCAGGGTTGAAAAACCGCTTCGCGGCTTTTCAACCCTGGCCCCGTCTAGGACCTGTGAGAGTCCTCAATTTACATGTTTCTTCCTGAATCCAAGCAAGAAAAAAGTGAAAAACGGTTCCTTTGTCCCTTTATATAGGCTCTTCCTGCTTCCGGCGCTGCTAATTGCCCCTAACAAAGAGGTTTTTAGAAATATTTACAAAAACTAAATTTTAATAGCGAAAACAGTAATTTTTCAACACTTTTATGTGTGTGCACTCATCTCGGCACCTTTACGCACCTAATGACGTATCAAACATACCTTAAAAACCTTCCCCAGAAGCTGTAGGTGCGGTACATACTCACGGAAGTTGCATGCAAATATACACACACACACAAACACTATTTTTTTATATATAGTTAGATTTCGACTTCGGAGTCCCTTTAAATTGGTTTCCCATCGATTTTGACCTGTCGATTCCTTTAAAACGCGTCTTGCTTATGGATTTTTAGTTCTATGTTACCTTAAAAACAAATTTTATTATAGATCTTGGCTTCTTGATTCTTTCAAAACGTTTTTCTTATGGATTTTCGTTTCCCGGCTCCTTTAAATCGATTTTTCCTATGGATTTTGACTTCCGAATCCCTTTAAAAAGTTTTCCTATTCATTCTGACTTGCCCATTCCGTTAAAAAACCGTCTTGCTTATGGATTTTCGCTTCTTCATTCCTTAAAAACCTTTTCCTGTGGATTTTGTCCTCCCAGCCCTTTTAAAAATGTTTTCTATCATTTTAAACTTGCCGGTGTTCCCCTTCCCGGTCCCTTTATAAAAGTTTCTCTATGGATTTTGGCTCGTCGGCTCCTTAAAATAAATTTTTATTTATAGATTCTGTTTTTCCGGTGCCTAAAAACTATTTTTCTTATGGATGTTTGCTTCCCAGTCCCTTTAAAAGAATTTTCGGCTCTATCCTAATAGCGGGGACCATAGAAATTATCGGGTACCATAGAAATTATCGGGGACCATAAAAAATATCGGGTACCATAGAAAATATCGGGTACCATAAAAAATATCAGGTACCATAGAAATTATCGGGGACCTTACGAAATATCGTGGACCGATCGCGAATATCGGGGACTTTAAAATCGACCATATAGGCCAAAATTTCGGCTGATCAATATCGTGGACTTTCAAATTTGGACTCCAGCCGGGCTTTGGTCCACGATATTGACCGATACAAAAAATATCGGAAATTGCCGGAAAACGCCTGCTAAGGCTAGCAAAGGGCGATTCACTGGCTTCCCAAGCGCCAGGGGCTACAGAGAGGCTTACCGTGCCATCTTCCTTGGAACTTTACTGTCTGGGGCGACTTGACGCTTATGGCGAGGTGATGGTTCTTTGAGCTACAACACTCCACATAAATTTGTAGGCGCCCCCCAATGTTTTGCCTAGGGAAATCGCCAGTGGGAAATCGCCGGCGTAACGTTCGTGCGGGTTCGAGCTCGATGCGTTACGTAAGGATCCGTACAGGTCATGTGACGATGTTACAACACAAACCGAGTTTGAAATCGCCTAACATGACTAGAAGACATGACTAGAGAAGCAGAATTTAGCCCCATGTTACTCCGGGGGCACGAGGCGAACACGAACAAGTTCAGGAAGTTTTGCGTTGTAAATGCGCAATTGAGTTTTGAGTGCTTCTGCTACTGGTCGGAAGGCTTCTCTGGAGCACATCCGCTCGGTAACACGGCCAAATTATCGTTCACTTCGCTAAAACGAACCCGTCCACAGACCATTTTTGATGCCACGATTTTTTCGGTCTTGGAACACGAGCTCACTGTGTCTGCCCTGCGAAAAATAATTTCTGAAGCAAGAGCACCACCAGCAACCATCCCCGATGCTTTTCGAGGTGAAAAAATGATGCAGAAACCGGAAATCGCGAAAAAAATTGGTCCTGCCTACAAATCTTTGTGGAACGGCCAAAAGTTATTTTAAAAAAATATTTTTTTTTAAATTCAGGGGTGGTTTCGTAAAAAAAAACTAACAAGTTTTTTAAGCTTCACAAACCCGAACTAGTATTTAGTAATTTGGGTCAAAGCGCGATAATGACTGGCGATTTCCCTAGGCAAAACATTGGGGGCGCCTACAAATTTATGTGGAGTGTTGTAGCTCAAAGAACCATCACCTCGCCATAAGCGTCAAGTCGCCCCAGACAGTAAAGTTCCAAGGAAGATGGCACGGTAAGCCTCTCTGTAGCCCCTGGCGCTTGGGAAGCCAGTGAATCGCCCTTTGCTAGCCTTAGCAGGCGTTTTCCGGCAATTTCCGATATTTTTTGTATCGGTCAATATCGTGGACCAAAGCCCGGCTGGAGTCCAAATTTGAAAGTCCACGATATTGATCAGCCGAAATTTTGGCCTATATGGTCGATTTTAAAGTCCCCGATATTCGCGATCGGTCCACGATATTTCGTAAGGTCCCCGATAATTTCTATGGTACCTGATATTTTTTATGGTACCCGATATTTTCTATGGTACCCGATACTTTTTATGGTCCCCGATAATTTCTATGGTACCCGATAATTTCTATGGTCCCCGCTATTAGGATAGAGCCGAATTTTTCAGAAGGGTCTTGACTGCCGAGTCCCTTTAAACCGTAAAAACTAACCGGTGCACCCATTTGTGCTGGCGTCATCGAGAGCTCCACCTCGGCCTTTCGACGCGCAGCTTTTCCTAAAAAATCACAGATTTAAATTTTTTGCAGAGTTTAAATGGCACCCAAATTGTTTTAAATAGCGTAAAGCATTCCCATGCAAAAATCGCGACCGAATTACCGTACCCCCGCATCCACAATTTATCAGCGGATCGGTGCAAATGTCACATTCGGAACGGCGTCGCCCCTCTGGTGTAACGACTGAAACCGAAAGTCCAGGCTTATTAAGGGAAAGGGAAAATTGTTAAAAGGATTAGCGCGGAATACGGTAGATTTTAAGGGTATTTGTCATTTCTGGATTTTGCTTTATTATGAACATTTTAAAAGGTATTTGTCATTTTTAATGATATTTAAAGTTGAAGTGTTGAGATCCTTGAGGGTATTTGTCATTTTTAAAAATTTGAAATTTTTCTTATTACCGTTTTTGAGGGGTACTTGTCATTTTTGAGATATCTTAGTCTGATTTGTTGGTATCTTTGAGAGGTATCGGTCATTTTTAAGATATTTAGGTTTTCCCAATTCACATTTTTGAGGGGTATTTGTCATTTTTGAGAATTTTCGAAGAGTACCTTAGCGGCGGAAATCGATTTCTTTTTAGCGAATTTAAAAAATCAGCTAGTCTCAATAATTTGCATTCATTAAAAGTATTAAACAAGTGAATTTTTAAATTACACGGTTTTTTTCATGAAGCAAAAATCCGATTTAAGGATTTAAAATTTATAGAGTTATGTAAATTAGAATACTTTTACGGCCATTAAAAGAATATAAGGCTTTGAAAAGTGATAGATTGTAATAGGAAAGTACATAACACGGCATTAAATTATATGAAAGACCAAAAAAAATCGTGAAAAAGCTTACCCTCGACAATGGGTCCTAGGGGTGGTGATCGGCTCTTTCGGCTGGGTTCCCCGATGCGACTCCTCGATCCAGATGGCTGTAACTGGCCCGACTCGACAAGACTCGACTTCCGGGAGGCCAGCAAGGCTGATTGGAACTGAAAAAATAATTTTCCTATGTTGCTACTTTCCTAAGATAACGTCGGTCGCATTTTCTAAGCCTAAGCCATAAGCATAAGCCCAAGCATAGGCCTTCGTCTCAGCCTAAGCCAAGCTTAAGCCAGAGCCTAAACCTAAGCCCGAGCCTAGGCCAAGCGGAAGCGAACCCTGATCCGAGCATAAGCCGAGCCTAAGCGAAGCCTGCCAGCTTTGCCAGCCTAAACCTAAGCCCGAGCCCAAGCCAGCTTAAACCGGGCCTAAGCTATGTCTAAGCCCAAGCCGCGCCTAAGCCACGCATAAGCCAAGCCTAAGCCTAACCAAAACGCAACCCACCTTGTCATTAATGGTCGTACTGCTGCTGGTGAAGCTCGTGTCGCGCGTCAGTCCGGTCAGCCGTTTTCGTAGATCCGTCAACGAGTCAGCGCCGTTCAGCGAGGAACCGGGTTCTTCTTGCCTAAATTTGAGTATGGATTTGATCCGACAGCCGAAGTCAAGCCCAGGCCTAAGCCTAAGCCTAGCCCAAGTCAGGGTTCAGCCAAGCCTAAGCCTAACCCTAAGTCTAAGCCAATACTAACCTATCCACCGTGGCCGAGCTGCCACTCCGTTCCACTCCATTCTGACGGTCCAGGCTAGCAAGGCGTTGCCGTAGCCGTTCGGAGCGAGTCCTAAATTCCTCAGTAAAACAGTGCCTTTCAGGAAAATTAGTCAGACGTGTTGTTAGACAAAGTGGACAGAAGGGTTCTCCGGAAATGGGCGGAACCTGGACCTGGTGGAGGCATGGTCAAAGTCTTCCGGGCGGATGGTAGATGAGGTTGATGGGGATCGAGAGAGGGATGCGACAGAGGGTACTGTAGATGCCCACGATGGGGTCAGGAGGGAGGAGCTGCTGCAAGGGCAAATTTTGGGAATCCCGAGGTAAGGACGTCCGAAAACTCTCATTTGATCGTAACATACCTGCTGCCCGCCTCCAAGCCGTTCGTCTCGCTCCCATATCCGCTACTGCCATTCACCGTCCTCTCATCGCAGTGATAGCCGTTCGTCTTGGACACCGGGCTCTCCGGCGCTTCTTCTTGTGGTTTCTCGTCGGTGCTCCGGTTCCCGTTCAGGTACTTCGAGAGCAGCGCATTTTTTCGTTCTTGGGTGATCGTCGTTCTAAAAAAATAGGTTTTTTAATAATTCTTCGCATCCCTTTTAAAACCCCGAAAATTCCGTACGTGTTCGCGTCGCCGTTCATCTTCGGCCCCTCGTTGCCAATGTCGCCGTAGCCGAACGTCA